CCTGGCTCACCAGTGGGGAGACAGCTTGTCACTGTCCTCATCTCTGTGCTATGGCAGAGGGCTCTCCCTTGCTATAGCCATGTTAGATAAAGGTGGCACCAAGGAAGAGGGGACCTCCTCTGGCAACTATGTTAGGGGGTAAGGTGGTGCAAGGCGATTAACTTCAGGAGTCTTCCAAATGGGCAAGACCCCAGCAGAAAGTGATTAGTAGGCACAGAGTTAATAGTACTCTTCAAAGCGTTCTCACTTGGCATCAGTAACTGCATTAGAAGCCACCTGTTTCCTCTTGGATTGCCGAGGGTTTCAGTAGTGGATCCACCTGGACTAATCTACACATATAAAGGTTTTCTTCTTTAGATATTTGCTTCCCACACTGAATAACATGCAGTGTATGCCGAACCCAAACCTGGCACTGAGGCAGAAAACTGCTGTTCTTCTGAAATTGCTGCTCTTTTTTTTCAGAAAGTGAGCCCAGTTAAATGTTTGCATCTTTGTTTCACCTTTATGCTGGTACAGATGCAACTCTAATATTAATTTGCTCTAATATTAATGAATTAGTTAACTCATCTGAAAATACCCGAGGAGTAGAACAGTGATTATATACTGTTACACTGAAGATGTCTTTATGATTGCTAACTTAATCAAGAAATTTAACACAGGAGCATATACAAACAGAACTGCCAACCACCAAGCCTGCAAAAAACATGAACGAGTCTCTCCAAAATATGATACTAATATAATATTACATGGAAGCAAGTAAACAGGTTCTGCTGCTAGGGCATTTAAAGTCTGTATTATAGAGATGTTCCCTGTAATAATAAGGATTAAAAAAAAGGTTCTTCCAGGAGAAATAATGAGGATAAATAGTTCTCCAATTTGTATGGAAGCCAAAAGTTTTACAGTCATGCGACTTTAACAAAACTCACCAAATGACATCAAGGATAAGACTGCTTGTGCACATAAGCAACTTTGCTAAACTCCATCAAATTCAGCAGCCTAAATGCAGAATCGCTTTCCTAGATGGAGGTGTCATTTTGAGGTTAAGGCCAAATCCATTAAAGAACACAACTTTCTTAGAGGTCTGCTTGGCAGTAGCTTCTGGGCACCTTCCCATGGGGGCAATTACACCACCTCTTATCAGGCATCTTGGCTGCCTGTGCAGTTCAAGAACCAGGCATTTAGGACAGAATACAAAGGTGCCTATGTGGTATAGGGAGACACCTACAATTGTCATAGCCAAGATGCAGATGCCTAAAACCACAGGTGAAGCGCAAGGAAAAGCCTTGAACCCCTCCATGACACCTCATTTAGTCTTGTGTCAGTCACACAGAGAGATCAACTTACCCCCCCAGGAGATCTGGGACTTAACTTCTACCCCATAACTCCTGCCTAACATCCACTCAGCTATGTCCTGCAGAAGCACCACTACCAGACTAAGAAGTTCCCACCCACCACAGAGCAGGTGCTCTACCTGCTTCCATGCAAGTCTTTTGGGATAGCTTAAACCCTCTTTGCGGCAGGCTCAGCAAAACCAAGTTCATACCGGGACCAACCCTCTTCATCAGCTCTATGGCTGCAACATTGTTCTAGCACAGATTAAAAACACAAAATAATAATAATAATAAAAACAAACCAAAAATGCCAACTGTCCCCCCCAAACATGCGTCAATTTGGTTCAGTTATTTCTGCAGTGAACACTACCCAACTTGCAATTTAAGACCATGAGCAATTTATTGCATGTAGCCTAAAGCTGGGCTTTTACTCAAGAGAAGCCTACAAATTAACAGGAATTAAATAATCAGAATCACTTTGATACAGACAGTTTTATAAGAAAATATATTTGCTGACTTTTTGAGGATATTTTTGTACTTATTATTTCAGTTCATATTTCTTAAGAGAAAGAAGTAGATACAAGAGTATTACACTGTTTACATTTTGGCCTTGAATTTGACTGCTGTATCAACCAGGAGCAGGCTATGACATTCTAATAACGTCTTAGAATGATATCTTTTGTTTTTATTATGCATGATTAGGCTTGCTGAATTTCTGACCTTTCCGAGGATCACCTCAATCCACCTGATACATGGTGAGATAAGTTTACATGGAAAATTTCTATCCATTCAAAGGCTTTTTGTCATCTGCCATACAAGCCCTGAAAAGGAGATGCTAGCTACAAGGAAGCAAAAGGAGGGGAAGAAGAAGGGCTGCGTGCATGGAAATCACTGTTAAGTGATTTCAGTTTTGTAAAGCAGAGCACTTTACTGAACCTCAATGTGCTCTATATGCAAAGTTCTTCCATTTCACAGACTTCCCCTTGGAAAAGATAAGCTCGTGAAGGACAATTAGCTGAAGCTAATTAACAGCAGCATGAAAACTAATCCAGGTTAGACTTTCTCCAAAGTCTATTTTTCTCCCAGAGGGGTTTTATCTTGTCAGATACCGAAACAATAACTACTGAGCGACAAGCCATTGCAGAGCAGCTTACAATGCATCCCACTTCACTCTCAAAGCGACTCGGTAATTTTTACTATTCTATTCATCTTTTTCCAGGCATGCACCTGCTTTCAAGAACTCAGGCAAACATGAATATGGTATTTGACTAATAAATGCCATATCTTTTGAAAGAGCGCTCCTTTCACGATGCTTTTCGGGGCAGACAGCACTGAACCCTTCTGCTTTTTCAAAGTCAAAATGCCAATATGTGAAGGGCAATGGTGTCATTGTTACCTACGGTCTCGAGTGACAGGGTTTGAGCACAGACCTCCGACTTTTAAACCACTGCTATCAAAAATAATCAAATCTCTTTTTTGGGAAGCAATTCCTGCATCACCAGGAAGCCTTCACTTTTCCCTTCCATTTGTATGAGAGCCTTTGCATTAGAAGAAAAGAGAAGGAACACTGAAGATAAAAGCTCAAAAACATTACAACTAACATTGGACTATTAGTTACTAAAATAAAAAGTTTCTCCAAAATATGGTCAAGGCTGCCGCCTCCTTAAAGACATGATACAAAGCCAACGGAAGTTTCTTTAGAGTTTAGGCAAAATGAGGTAAGTGGACAACGCATCCTGAAAGGACTTCCAAAGCTATCTTGTCTTTCCAATATAATCCGTGTACACAAGTGTTGCCTTTGGCAATAAACTACTGCATGATGCTTGATTGATAAGATAGCTAAAAACCATAAACGTGAGAAGATAGACTATGAAACAGAATATGGCAAGTTTTATTTGCAAATTTTGCTTGACGGTAATGGACTGTGGTGTAATCTTCTAAGAGCTTCTGTGTATAACAACTATGTTATTCCTAAAAAAAAGACAATTTGATTACCAAAATTTTCTTCAGTTTTATTAGATAAAGTCTAAATAACCCAAAGAATGAACAAAACAAAACAAAAAACCCCCAAAACAACTCCTAAAAAACAAAAAAAAGCACATGCCTGGTCTACTTGTGACCGTCTCTCTGGAACCGTTTAGGTTAATTTTCTGAAACCACTTCATGAAGTGCTTTGCAATAAGCCACTACTGACATTAAAATGTCCTGATTTTAGCTGGTTCTAATAGCTAGTTATCAGCTCTTATAAGTCTGTGGTCCATTTGACTTTGCATTTTGTGCCCCAAATACCTATTTTCTGGGATGGTAAAATAGGCCACTACTCTGCAGCCTTTTAAAGTCAGTCAACAGGTATTTTAGGGAACTCAAGCATTTGAAAAGAAATCTTGCATCCTGCATGTTTTCTTAGGGGCAGGGAAGCATTAACCTACATAAAAATGCAACCCTAGCGTGCCTTTTAGTATCTTAAAGTAAATCAAAACATGGTTTAATATGTATTTTAAATATCACTCAAAGATGATAAAAAACGCTCTTAATTCATTGGTATTTTGCAATATTACCAAGTCTTGTACAAGAAAGTTTCTTGGGATGCAAATTTACTTTCTGAAACAAACAATAAACCTTGATTTTAATTAAATAATCATTTAGGTCTAATTTTTTCTCCACAGAGGTGCCAAACACCTTTGTTATATGCTATTCTAAATCTCCTGGTTTAATGAGAAGTTACTATGTATAACTTAAGAGCAAACTTAAATTTAGACCACTAAAGACTACTGATTAGCACTGTCACACTTCCTGAGAAAACATTTAACCCTCTCCCTTTCTTTAATGTGGTAATTTAAAAAAATTTAAGATTTTCATATACAGCAGCTTCAGTTTTCTTTCAAATTATCATTGGCTTTGAATCGCGTGTGTTTATACTCAGTATCACTTCAATCAGAACATGTTCCTCTTAAAAAGAGATATTGCTGGTATAGAATGAAAGTGTAAATATACCAAAATTTCTGCATTAAAAATAAGCTCTAGATTAAGAATGAATTATGAGTGGAATTTTTTTGACATATCCTAAAATTTCAATACACAAATATTTATAGCTAGGATTTTAGATGACTATATTGCTTCACATCAAAATGACTGCAGCATTCATTCAAAAATGATACAGCTCCATTTCCCATTCTTCTTCCTGGAAGATGTCCCTACTACGCAAAATGTTTCAGAAAAATCAGAGTTCTTTAAAGACACAGATCATATTAAAACATTTCATTTGCTACTCGAGCTTTTAAAATTCTCCAATTTCTCACCTTGCAATGTTTCAAGGTAACTATTTCGCAACCAATTTTTAAAATTCAGCACTTTGGTGGATTTGAGTATTGCGATTTAAGAGAGACGCTGGGAGCACCTGCAGCCAGCCAGCTACCATCATCTGACCAGGCTCCCTCTACTCCTTCCATATACATGAGAACAGCAAGCCTGGGAGAAAGAGGTTCCTCCAGAAGAAAAAAAAAAAATCAGAGCAAGAGTCTAATTCACTACTACTAATGCTATTTTACACCATTACACTAGGGAAAAAAAAATATTTTAAGTTACTGTGATTTGCTATCAACAAATACAGACTGTGGAAAGCAAAATGAGATTACCAACTTACACTGAATGTAGCGAGCTGATACTTACTTTGCTTTTGCTTCGGCATCTTCATAGGCTTTATTGGAAACGTCGTCTAGACCGCCAATCAGATGTTTGAATGAGCTGTGAAAATAAAGGTAGGAATGCTTTTTTTAAAGAAAGACAATTTCCACTTGGGAGCCAAGCAAGCAATCTCAGGGTCTTCAGTAGCAGCCGCAGCCTGCCCTCAATGATCAGGGGACAGCTAAAACCGACTGAATCTGGGCTACGGCAGGGCACGCGCTGGGAAACCCCACCTCAAACATTTAAGAGGAGGTGAAAATGGAATAACAAGGAGATCCATCTTATTTCTCCAGCACTTTTAGGGCCTGAGCTCATTGAAATCACCACTAAAGTCTTCCCTCCCTCCAATAACAGAAACACAAGCTAGAATAAATCTCCAACTGTGAATGTCGCTGGCAAGCCCCACAGTGGCGAGGAGCAGGGCCACTAGTGCACCTCTATCCCCAGGCCAGGAGCACAAGAAATCCCCCTTATCTAAGCAAAGCGTAATCCTCACTTCAGTGTCTCAGTTTTTCTTAGCAAGAGAAACAGCAACCAAAACCAGAGTGGGCAGAAATAAAATGGAAGTGGGGGGAGGGGGAAGGGGGGAGCCAGAAGGAGGAGAAAGTGAGGGCAAAAGGTGTTTTGTCATAAGCCAAACTACTTGATGACATTAAAGAGGAAATGTGAATTTAATTTGGTTTAACAGAGTGTAAGACAAGGTGAAACCTTAGGAATGCCTGATACACTCCACACTGGGCTCTCTTCTGCACACGTGGAGAGTATCTCGAGCAGCTCCCCAACACCATCCCCTACCCCAGGAAGGGTACAAAGGGCTCAGTCATACTGGAAAAACAGTTGGAAAATTCTTTTCATACAAGCGACTCAAACAAGTGGATCCAATAAATTTCTACCTTAAACCATCTCCTCAACTAAGAAGCATCACTCCAGAGTAAAAATTAAAGTGTAGCTGTTATAGCTTCATTGAGGATATTATATAGCGCTAGAGACTAAATACGGAATAGAAAACACTAAATGTGTCCATTCAGTATATACAATTGAAAATGTTCCATGTGAAAAGCATACTTCCCCCCTATATATTTCCATTGTTCCCAGTGTGTCTGTCACTTACAGACTTACTTTCTTTAAGAAGCTATTTGCAAAATGAGGAAACAGCTAGGCTAATTTGAAAAGACAAACCTTTAAGAACTACAGTCTCTTGGCTAAGCAGGACTGTTCTCCCTCTGTCTGAGGGCGGCAGATGCACAAATGAAAAGACCTGCAGTTTCTCCATCTTATATATGGCCATGACACTCCTGATGAGTTAAATATAGAGCTGAAGTAATGAAATGGCTATTAACTGAAAAGTAAAATAAACATTGAAGGTCATATTTACAGATTTAAGAATAACAACAGAATATTTAATATGGTCCTTCCCCCCCCGCCCGCCCCCCCCAAAAAAGACTTAGAAGATGAAACAGAACTAAAGCCATTCAGCAGATGAGGAAAATAGAGGGCAAGTTAATCATTTTTCCTAAGCTCTTGGTTTGTGATCATATGACGTTATATAGGATAGAGTGCCATACGTGGGCAAACTAAAAACGTTTTTACTGAAAAGCCTCAAACTTCAGCTCTTAGTGAAATTAAGTGTTTTCGCCCAATTAATGTTTCTCGGCTTAAGTGAGGATATCTGCTGGAAATTTAAAACTCTGCAGTATAAGGAGTTAAACAGGGCAACGCAGCATTAAATGCACGCTATTTGGGTCAACAAACCAAGCCAAGGATAGGACTTTCAGAGCAAGGAAATCAGAGCTACCTATTGCTTGTTCTGGTATGCTGAACAGCAGCCCTCCAAAGCTGGGAAAGAAGTGAGCTGTAGCCATGTTTTACTCATTACTGTAATAAATAGGAGGGCAAGAGGTCACAGTCACGAAATCTATTAATACTGTTTCACATATAGAGCTACTTGCTATAATAGGACTTTCCAACACAGCCTCTTGCATAATTACAGTCATCATAGCTCTGGAAATATCTTCTACCCAAATTCTCCCATTTTTCCACTTTGTTTAATCCATATTATTTTGAATTATGCAATCCAAGAAGTCATCTATGCGGCACGGTGAAAGCAACAGAACTAATTAATTAAGAGGAAAAGGCCAAGGCTCCTTTGCTCTGCCATGGAAATTGTCATTTTTCACAATGTGGTAGGGGCTCAGCAGGCTCTAATTTTCAATATTAAGATATGCTAATAACTAAGATCTTTTTGATGCAAAACGTCTTAGTCAGCAGCATGCTTGAAATAAGAGAAATTCTGCCCTGCAGTCTGACACCTCAAGGAGGCCGCTTTTTCAAAGAAACAAAAAACCCCTAAAAAACCAAAACCAACCCAACAAAAAAAGAATCCAGGCAAAATATATCAACCAAGTCTTTTGGTTGACATTCATTTCATTGATCCTTACTGTTTGTGGTGGTGATTTATTGAATTCATTTACTTCTACAAGTAAACGCAGAAGATGAAATTTCTAGATGGAAATTTCAAAGGATCAAGAGCCGGACACTCATTACGACCCATCCGCTCCTAGCCCTGCATTGTCACCACGACCGTCGGCATCGCTGGTACGAAGCATACCAAATCAGTCAGATTTCTCTGGAAGAATACCTTCCACAGCATGGCATATGCTGTATTTTTGGGGCCAAAACATATGCCATTCGGGCCACAGGCTCTAGCCAAAACCCTTAGAAGAAAACCACAATCGGAAAGCCAGACGAAGCTATGATGTGCACTGCTGAAACTACTAACGTTCACTTGCACCACAAACACGTAGGCAAGTAAGCAAGACCAGCACTGCAACCATCCTGGTGTGCCCTGAAACACAGCCTAAGGCTTTAAAGGCCTTGCTAAAATAGCAAGTCCTGGCTGGCTTTAATGTGGGTAGGAAAAGACAGTGGGGTTAAACATTCCCATTTTTTGCAACGCAAAGAAATCTTTGTATAGTTAAACAGTTAATGGTCAAATAAGGAGAAAAAAAAAAGGAGAGACCGTTTGCCTAACATCCTTAAGTTTCTATTTAAATATCTTAAGCAAGGCTCAGGACTGGGAAGGATTTGGAAGTTCACTGGAGTAACTTTTTCCTTGTCTACTCTCAGCTCTCTGTTGAGGTATCATTTTGGTCACAACTTCCCCCAAGTATTTCAGCAGAAAACTGCTCAGTGTTTCCTCCTCACAGCCCTCTCTTCACTGTTTCCATTTTCCTCCTCATAACCAATTTTCTCCATGGATAAACTTCACCCCAACTGGGAAAAACACTAAAGCACCAAAACCAAAAATCTCCGAAGAAAGTGTTCAGCTTGTATAAGGTCAGTCACGCTAGGATAATGCTTTATTGTATTCTGCTCTGCTTTCCATTGCCAAAAGGGTCGAGTGCAGCAGCCCATGCCGGCAGCGCGCGCGCGCACCGTGAGAAAGGCACGTTAAACAGCTGACTGCTACTTGCAGATACTTTTGCAGGACTGGCGGGTTGCGGTCCGAAGGGTGAGAGGCTTTACAAACGCCAGGGCGCGTGACAGCAGAACTCGAACACTATACACCTAATAATGAGCAGACCTTATTCCTATTTTATAAGCTGTGTACATATACGCATGATATATGCCGGTACAATGCTATACAAAACAATAATGACATTTGAATGGAGAGAGTATAACCGTGACAATGAAATAAAACTTATAAAAGGAAAACAAGGTCACTGAACAGGGCTGATGCCCAGGCTATGCGGCTACAGGCAGGACGAAACCAGAAGCAAACACAGCTGGCGGGGGGGTTAGCCCTAGACAGAAAACAGCACCCGCGTACAGGGCAGTAACCCCCCGGACAGGCTGCGTCTCCGGCG